TGTTGGGAATCAGTATGCCAGGCACATAACTCATAAACTTGTACTGCGTGAGCACAGTGGTGGCATCAGACAGAGGTTTGCAGAGTCCTGACAAAGACAGCGATGCTGATCTTCGAGTGGATTTAGAAATCCCCTGCTGGGCAAAAGTTTTTAGTAAAACCTCTGAAACTTCTCCAAGGCCTGTATGCTGTCCTATAAAATCCAGTTTCAGAAAGAACTTTTCTGTTAGTTTAGAGAGAACCTGGGTTCTGCATTTTTCCCCATCTCACAAGAGAGATCAGTGTACCCTGTCTGATCTTTGACTAGAATCCTGTTAGGAAGGTTTAATCAGCATCTACTTTTCTGTTGATAATTCCTCTGAGTATCTTTCTCTCTCCTTATTTTCCAGTTGTGGCTTCCCACTCGGCCATTCTGTGTATGGGTTCAGCACCGTCTTTGTCTTGAACTACAAGCTTCTATTGCCTTAGCGCCCACCTTTTTTTTCCCCTGGGCTTCCTTACCACACTTTAAGAAGTAATGCTGACTAACACTTTCCTTCACAAAAGTAGCCATGGTTGGCTGTCTGGTGAACGGCTTGCCTGAGGCCTGAGTTTAATATTGCAACAAGGGAAAGCAGGGTTAAAAAGGGAAGTAAGGGGAGGGAGGGCAGAAGCAGGAACAGGGAAGAGCAAAGGTCAGAGTGATGAGCATCAAGTGACTCATCTGGAGGAAAGCACACAGGACCTGGGGGGATGGGAGAATAGGTGACAAACAGAACTGTTCAGGCCTGGAGATACAGATGGCTCAGTGGTCAAAACCATTTATTGCTATTCAAAGAGCATACGTTGCTAGCACACATTTGAGTGAGTGTTCACAACCATCCTCAACTCTAGTGCCACAGGATCGGATACCCTCTTCAACCTCTGCAGGCATAAGATATTCATGTGACAGACATACATGAATGCAACATGAAGGAAAACACTCAGACACATAAAAACAAAATCAACCTAACAGAAAGCAAAAGAAGGAGCAGTTCCCTGTGTAAGCTTGCATTTCTAAGACTGGAAAGGCAATATGACTATGTGCCAGTGCTACAGACAGAGGGCATGGCCTCAGAAGCTCAAATGGACTGCGTCCTGAAGTATTGCCCTGATAGAAAGAAAACATGTCAAGAACCATCATTTCTGCATTTCTTGACATAGTGAAATCGTGAATTTTCTTTTTCACAGTCCTACTTAGGATCACAGTCATAGCACCAAGACATTTGGCACAGGCAGAGACCTCATGTTCTAGATGTGGGGAGGAGTTGGATATCAGAAGTGTGTAAATGTGAATGGAAGAAGGTATTTGCAAACTTTTGAGAGGATCTTCATAACTGGTACAGGATACAGCAGCTGTTTTCTTCTTCTTCTTCTTCTTCTTCTTCTTCTTCTTCTTCTTCTTCTTCTTCTTC